TACGGGCGCATCGCCCGCACAGTGGAAAATCTTCGCAAAACCGGCGCCGCCAAAATCTCGCTTCCCCTCGTTCGCTCCACGCTGTCGGTCCTCGAGGGCAAGTGGGCCAAATTCCAAGCGCAGCATGACCGCCTGCAAGCAGAGTTTGGTGAGGAGTTCGATAGGAGCAAGTACAATACGGAGGACTTCCTGAGTACCGTCGAAACGGCCTACATCCAACAGAGAACCAAGCTTCTGGAGTACGAGGAAAAGCTCGAGGAACCGAAGGTTCTCAATGACTCGAAGAGCAGGGCAGGGCAAGCGACCTCTCGCAACGTATTGCCCCGAATCCAGATGCCGGAATTCTCAGGAAAATTCGAAGATTGGCCTGCCTTCCGAGATTTGTTCTCCTCCATCGTAGTGACTGACGACGCCCTGTCAAAGGTCGAAAAATTTCACTATCTAAAGACAAGCGTGAAAGGGGACGCTGAGCAACTAATAAAAAGTTTACCGTCCACGGAGGAGAACTTCGAGCGCGCCTGGTCGATCCTCAATGACCACTTCGAAAATAAGAGACTGCTGGTGAGAGCTTACCTTGCAGCATTTACTTCACTTCCGAAGATGAAGGGTGAGTCCGTCGCCGATCTCCGACGCATCTTCCACGGAGTGGTCTCCACCGTCGGCGCATTTGAGGGCATAGGGCGACCGATCACGGATGGCACGGACCTCTTTGTGCACATGGTCGTGGAACTCCTTGACTCCAAAACCCGCCGAGAATGGGAGAGCTCGCTCGGGAAAACCGTCGTGCCACCGTCTTACGAGGAGCTTCGCGACTTCCTGCAGGAGCAGCTGATGACGCAGGAGGTGCTCCGGGTAGCCAGGGGCGAGGCATCCTCGGGAAAGCCTGGTGAGAAGACGAGCCGTTCAATTCGGGCCAACCACGTCAAGGCTCAGGAGACGGACGCCGGCCGCAGCTGCCCACTCTGTAAGAAAGAGCATTTCTTAGCCTTCTGCGAACAGTACAAGCGAAAGACAGCCCAGGAGCGACGAGAGGTAGCCACTACGCATCAGCGCTGCTTGAACTGTCTGGGTCGACATCTGATCGGTGAGTGCACGTCCACCAAGACTTGCTATAAGTGTTCGGGTCGGCATCACACGTCGCTTCATGACGCATTTTCGGCCGTCGCGTTGCCCGCTCCCGGTACGAGCTTGACCCCGACGGTGCACGTTGCAAAACGATTGTCCGCGGAGTGCGCCCCCGTCTTACTCGCGACCGCGCGCGTTCTGGTGATGAACTGTCACGGCGAGTACCACCCCGTGCGTGCCTTGGTGGACCCGGGCTCCGAAACGTCGCTGATCTCGGAATCGTTAGCTCAACGTCTGCGATTGCCGCGCACTCCGACGTCTGTCGCGATCTACGGTGTGGGTGGCCTCCGGACGGGCTGCGCGCGAGGACGAGTTGCCGTCACCTTCGCGTCGCGTGTCGGACAATACACTCTCACCGTCTCGTCCTTAGTGCTGCCGAAGCTGTCCGTGTACAGCGGGGCGGCCGAGAGCGGCAGCGGGTCGTGGCCGCATGTGGACGGACTCACTCTCGCCGATCCCGAGTTCCGTGCTCGGGACCCCGTCGAGCTTCTCCTTGGTGCGGAAGCATACGCCAGCATCATATTAGAGGACCTCCGTCGCGGGGGGCCCTTGGAGCCAATCGCACAACGCACACAGCTCGGGTGGATTCTCATGGGCGCGGTCGGAGGCTGTCACGCGGCGTTAGCCGTTTCGTCGCTCCAATGCTCTGCCACTGATGAGCTGACGGAGGTGGTTCGGCGGTTCTGGGAATGTGAGGAGCCGCCTCGCGCTCCCTTGCCGCTCACCCCCGACGAGCAGGAGTGCGAAGACTTCTTCGCGCGGACGTGCGAGCGCCTTCCTTGCGGCCGTTATCAGGTGCGTCTGCCGGTCCGGTCGGAGCTGCCTGACTTGTCGTCCACGCGCCGCGCTGCGTCTCGAATGCTCGAGGTCATGGAGCGTCGATTCGAGCGCGATCCTGCCTTCCGTGTGATGTACCACGACTTCATGGACGAATATCTCGCTCTCGGGCATATGACGCCGTCGGCAGTCGAGCGGGGCGTCAACGCCTGCTTCCTGCCGCATCACGGCGTCCTGAAAGGCTCGGGGCCCGACGTGAAGATCCGCGTGGTATTCAATGGATCCGCGCGCACCGCGGCAGGGCATTCATTGAACGACTTCCTCCACGCGGGGCCCAATTTGCTGCCGGCTCTCGCGGATGTTCTTACGCGTTGGCGGCGGCACCGATACGTCTTCACTGCCGACATCGTTAAGATGAACCGGCAAATTCAGGTGCACCCGGCGGACAGGCACCTGCAGATGATCCTGTGGAAACAATTGGAGCACGCATTAAATACCGTCACGTACGGGCAAAAGGATGCACCCTACCTTGCATTGAAGACGATGGACCGACTGGCGGAGGATGAGCGGAGCCGGTTTCCTCTGGGCGCCGAGGCGGTGCAGAATGATCGATACGTGGACGATGTGCTCTCCGGGGCTTCCACTCTCGACAAGTGTCGTCGTCTCCAAGAACAGGTAGCTTCGTTGTGCTTGGCGGGCGGCTTCCCGCTCAGGAAATGGGCTGCAAACAACAAGGCCCTCCTGGAAGACGTTCCCCTCGAGCATCGTCTGCGGCCAACGGCCTGCGCCTCGCTCCCCTCGGACGACTGCTCCGTGCTGGGCCTACGCTGGAGCCCTGGGAGTGATGACTTCGCGCTCACAGTCCTAAAATCTGACGTGGTCTCCCCCACGAAGCGATCGGTGCTTTCTCGGACCGCTCGGTTGTTCGACCCGCTGGGTTGGTTGGCACCTGTGATAATCAAAGCGAAACTATTAATTCAGGCAGCTCGGTTACAGCGACTTGACTGGGACGCCCCGCTGGCACCCCCTGACGCGGCGGCTTGGACAAACCTCGAGGAGGAGCTTCCCGTGCTGGAGCAAGTCCGCGTCCCTCGATGGTTCGGGCTCGACAGCTCGGAGGACACCGTCGAACTTCACGGCTTCTCGGACGCCTCCGAGCGGGCCTATGCTGCCGTCGTATATCTCCGGGTGACGATTGCAGGAAAACCTTACCTGTCAATTGTGGCGGCGAAGACCAAGGTTGCGCCGCTGAAACAGGTCACGCTCGCTCGGCTGGAGCTGAGTGCAGCGTGCCTGCTCACCAAGGTGGCCGAGCACGTGCGCGTGGTGCTGCGCCTGGAATCCGCACCTTTCTTCTTCTGGACGGACTCCATGGTCACCCTCGGATGGATCCGCGGCCATCCCACCAGGTGGACGACCTTTGTGGCAAACCGAGTCGCTGAGATTCAACGGGCGAGCCCGACCATTCAATGGCGCCACGTTCCGGGGGGGCCAGAATCCTGCGGATTGCGCCTCTCGCGGCCTGTCCCCGAGGGAGCTCTTGGATCACCCCCTATGGTGGAGCGGGCCCGACTTCCTCGCTAGAGGCTCAGCGGACTGGCCGATGGAGCCGGGCCTCCCGGAGCATGTGGAGCTCCCGGAGCAGAGGGCCCTCCGGTGTTTCGCGATCTCTGATGCGCAAGAACCCGATGAACTTCTCCGGTTTTCCTCTCTCCGACGGTTGTTGCGTGTCTCAGCCTGGATGTTTCGATGGAGGATGCACCGCTCCTTACCTGACACGAGGGCGGACATCTCGGCGCTGACCTCAGCGGAGCTGGACGCGGCCCTCGCGCGGTGGATCCGGGTGGCTCAGTCGGTCGCCTACCCTCAGGAGCTCTCCGATGTTCGGGCTGGACGGGCGGTATCTGGCCGGAGCCACCTTCGCCGACTCACTCCGGTCATTGACGCTGAGGGAATCCTGCGGGTTGGAGGACGAATCAGGCACGCGCCATTAGACGATGACCAGCGACACCCAGCCATTCTACCGCCGGGCTCGCATCTGGCTTACCTGGTGATTGACGCAAGTCACCGTCGCTCTCTCCATGGAGGAACTCAGGCCACTCTAGCGATCGTCCGCCAGCGGTTTTGGATTCCTCGAGGCCGTCAGCTTGTGCGAGGCGCAATACACCGATGCCTTCCATGCATCCGATGGCGGGCGGCCTCCCCGCAACCTATCATGGGAAGTCTGCCACGGGCCAGAGTCACTCCCAATCGGCCTCCCTTTCTCCACACTGGAGTGGACTTCGCCGGTCCGATATTCCTTCGGACGGCCAAGGGACGAGGCCACAAGGCATACAAAGCCTTCCTGGCAGTTTTTGTATGTTTCAGCTCTAAAGCAGTCCACCTTGAGGCAGTGAGTGATTACTCGGCCGACGCGTTCTTGGCCGCCTTCAGGCGCTTTGTCTCCCGACGAGGACTGTGCCGGGCGGTCTATAGCGACTGTGGGACCAACTTCGTGGGGGCTGACAATCAGCTCAAGGCGCTGTTTCAGGCAGCGAATCGAGACGTCCATCGGGTCATCGGGCATTTAGCGGACGAAGGTGTCCAATGGCACTTCAACCCTCCCGCCGCCCCGCACTTCGGCGGGCTATGGGAAGCAGCGGTGAAGTCCATGAAACGGCACCTGCGGCGAGTCATCGGCGAGACGACGCGCACCTTTGAGGAGATGACCACCTTCCTCGCAGAGGTAGAGGCCTGTCTCAACTCTCGCCCGCTCCAGGCCCTGACTGACGATCCAGAGGACCTCGATGCCCTGACCCCCGGTCACTTCCTCATCGGGGCACCCCTCAACGCAATCCCCGAGCCGTCAACTGTCGACATTCAAACCAATCGGCTAAGCCGCTGGCGTCTCCTTCAGAACATGAGGGACCACCTGTGGCAACGGTGGTCGCGAGAGTATCTGCAGGAACTCACTCCGAGACCGAAGTGGTGGACGGCCGACAGGAATTTGCGAGAGGGCCAGCTATGCCTAATTAAGAGCGAGACCACACCACCTTCGCGCTGGCCACTCGCTCGAGTCGCTCGCCTGCACCCAGGAGAAGACGGCCAAGTGCGGGTGGTGGACCTGCGGACCGCCAACGGAGAGCTTACTCGTCCTGTCGTGAAGCTCGTGCCTCTGCCCCCGGCTGACACCCGGGCTCAGGAGCCTGTCACTTGCATGTAACCTGTACACATTTTACACAGCAGATAGTCAATTCTTTTGTAAATAACTCTCATGTAATTAATTTTTATGTAATTCTCTTCTTTTCAATGCAGCCGTAGTACTCACGCCGTGTGATGTGCATCGTTTGACATAACTGATATAACACTGTACTTCCTTACTTTCGCAATCAGCTGACTTTAGCACGTGTCGCAGGGATGCCCGGGAGGGATCGACACTTTGATCGACTAAGTTCGCGCTGTTTCGTCGACCGTCACCGACGAGGCGGGCGGGATGTTCGGAAAAGGCGACTTGGCGCCTTTTCCGCGAGGGATCACACCGAGAATCGCTCGCGCCAATTACGAGCGCGCGCTCGCCTGCGTGACGCGTCGCGCTGACGGGCCCCGCTCCGCGAATCGCGCGGCTTGAAGGTCGGCTAGCAACCGCACGAGGCAAACGGATGGAGTCTTTGAATAAAAACAAACAACTTGTCCTCCGATTTTCTAGAAGATTCGCCACCGCCTTTGTCTTAGACAGAATTGTTGTCGATCACGGGCAGAATCTTCTGGAAAGTCGGAGACTATAAATAACGCACGCACGGCCGGACCCGCACTCATATCGCACGTAGTTTTTGCTGTGTAACTGTATCACGCTTTAACTCCGATTTTCGCGGAACTTCGAGCTCGCGCACTGCTGCTTTGTTCTTATTTTCGCACATTTCTTTGTACACTGCACTTGTGAAAAATACACGTCCTTTCTTGCAAATTGCTTTCTAACTCGCTTTCGTGCTTCTTCCTGCCTTTCCCAAACGACAAAATTCGGCAAGTGCTACTTCGCACATCTCTGGTCCTTCGAGCCGGATTCGCGTCGTGATAACCGGCTTCAATCCGCGATCCAGCCCTCGGCGCAGCTTCCATCGCGTCGTGAGTGATCCTGAAAGGGAAAGATGGAACGATTAATTAACTCCCAACGAGACATTTACGGGCGCATCGCCCGCACAGTGGAAAATCTTCGCAAAACCGGCGC